AAACGTATAAAAAAAAATCTTTAATTAATTGTGTAACGATCTACAAACTCGGGGCACTCGGGACGTTCACCCCTGTTTGGAATACCCGGAAGTCTACCCGAATCAGCCCGGTTGAACTTTCGGTTGACGGTTCAAAACACTATTACCAACAACCAAATGCATATCTGCAACGAAAAATGCAAAGGACCCAATATCCTAATTCAAATCTGCAGAAAAGGTTCTCTCGTCCTTACTGTGAATTAATACACTACCAAGAAGGCGATTCCCGTTACATATATAAATGCCTAACAGAGGCGGATTCATGGATCGTTCCTTATCATGCCCTAACCCTTTTACTCTGGAATGCCAATATATAACAAGTAAAGGGTTCGCACGATATATGGCAAAATATATCTCAAAAGCAAAACCCACTCATCTGTTTAATATCTATGAAAATAATTCATTGAGAGAGCACGTCATTGCGCGAAGACTTGGCTCAATGGAACTCATGTTCCTCCTCTTAGGACACCAGATATGCAACTCTTCCATCGCTGTAAAATTCCTCACAACAGATCCACCACCAAGTACTTCCCGCATACATGATAGAAGAGGACGATGAAAATCCTTACTACGACGACACCATCATGCATCGACCTCGCAATCCCCAATTCGAAGAACTTACCCACAATATCACGAAAAATGCTCTATAACCCCCTCCCGAACCACAACATCCCATCATACCTACCGTGATGAATTAGGAAACTACGTTGTAAAAATAAAAAGAAATCATAATTAGATCAAAATCGAAGACGGCGAGCCTTACTTCTACCAACAGTTGCTTCTAAACATTCCCGCTAGAAGCGAAAATGATTACAAAACAACCCCAACAGGATCCTACAGAGAAAATATTTATCACTCTTTCCAAACGCACTATCCGACTTACAAAACCAAGAAGCAGATACATATCATTCACGAATATCCAACCTAAACACCCAATTCACCGAAATGTTAGACAGATTATTGCACACACTAAACCAACAACCTCCACCACATAATTCAAGTACAAGAAAACCTAAAAATTCTCCCAAAGATATTCCCTGCTACTGCCACGCTCGAACTACCCCAAGACCAGTACAACGCATTATCAATCATACCCATGTACATGGGCCAAATAAACAACACCAAGTGACCTTACTTCTTCATAACCGGACCTGATAATAAGGCTGCTTAATCAGAGACGCTCCAACTACTTATTACTAACTTCCACGGGCGTAGCAGCCCAAAACATAGGTAGAAAAATCATACATTCAGAACTACATATAACATCCACCTACGAAAGATTTTCCACGCAGGCTTTTACGAACAAAGAACTCAACACTCGCCTGAAACAAGTTAACACCCTAATAATCGATGAGATATAAATGGTTTGCGCTGAGTTACTGGATTTCATTTCCAATCTGTTCGTCAGATCACATAGCAATGCCATAGCATTCGGCGGAATCAACGTAATCATCGTCGGCGATCTCTTACAGTTGCCCCCAGTCATTGGACAACCTGTCTTTCGAGCCGCAGTTTGGCCACTATTCTATCCCTTATTCCTAAAAGCTCCGCACAGACAAAACACTGACCCGAACTTCTATACACTCCTACAAGAAGTAAGAACAGGCTCCATTTCAAGAAACCTGGAGCATGCTACATACAGAATAATCTGCAACAATGCTCCCCGTATCAAATAACAAATTTCTAGTATCAAAGGCGATCGACAATGTAAATACTACACCCTAGAACACCACTCACTCAGACAAAATATTCAAACAAAAAACCAACCTACCTTCCTCCGTTCGATTACAACCAGGTGTCCGAGTAATGTACCTAAACAACTCACTAATCGAACATGGAATATGCAACGGCACTATAGGCGTAATAACCGACATAAATTTTGAAAACCAATCGATTCGAATTGCATTTTCTGCTTTTGATCGATGGATTCAGCTCCTGAAAAGTCTGATTAATAATGAAGGGAAAAAATTAATAAATTAATATCCATGATAAGACCATTCAGAATGAGGATACTCAATTAAAGGCTCCATAGTAGACATCAACATACACAAAGACACCCGCTACTTCCAAATAAACGGAATCTGCCACCGAACACAATTTCAATCCAAAACTGATTCGCCCTCACCGTCCACAAGACGCAAGGTTTGACACTACCCAAAGTCTCCCTCTCGCTAGACAAAAACATATTTTCCCCAGGCCAAGCCTATGTTGCCCTAAGCAGGTGTCCCACTTGGAGCAACGTAGAGATATCCAATCTCGACAGATCAGTCTTTAACGCAGATCAAAGTGTAATCGCAGAATGCCGAAGATTAGAAAACATCGCTACTACAAACCCTACTCCAATTCCATAAATACCAAAAAAAAAAAACTATAGTACAACCAATTTTTAAATTAAAAATACGAATATTATTGAACAAAATAAAATTGTTTAACTTCTCGAAAACAAATTATTACGCGTACTTGAACATCCAAAGTAACATAATACTTAATCCAATAAAAAATTGTACTACGTACATACAACATACGATTTAAAAAAAAGTTATATTAGCCAGCAATATATTGGTAGAGAAGCCTTATACTCATAATTAGTTGACCGAACCCATTTACAAAAAAAATCAGTGACATCCTCTGATCGATATCGATACGCTCAAATGTAATTAACCAAAAAAATCTAAAGAACATGCTAAGAAAGGAACTAAATCGACAAAAAATAGGACATGATCATAGGGGCTAAAGTTTTTGCGTTATTGTAATTAATAAAACATTGATAATAAAGTTAATATCGATATAGATAACGAAGATCTTTTATTCATAACTAATCATAGATTCGTGAAATATTTACATCAATATAAATAGATATAAATGATTTGTTAAAATTTAATAATTTTATTAAACAATTAATAATAACTAGTTATTAATTTAACTAGCAACATCATATGAGATTCTTAAATTTAACTAGCAACATCATATGAGAGGATTTGTTATTCTTAAATTTAACTAGTAACATCATATGAGAGGATTTGTTATTCTTAAATGGGATATTTCTCCTTATATTGTGCAATTAAATCGACGTATTGAGACTGAGCTTCCTCTTTAGAGAGACCTATGATTGATAGTTGAAGACATTAATAATTCAATCACTTGATTATTTTTCTTGGTATATTAGAAAATATCATTAATATTAATACCCTTTCTTGAATTCCAAGCATCCCATTTGGCTCTACCTTTTTGGTCGAGAATGTTAGGTTTTGCTAGAATTAGAAAGACGAATTAAAATGTTATTTATTATTTAAGAAGGCAAATAAATGGGCCACCCATTTTATATTGCATACTCACAGGTATTAATATCACCAACCGTACTCTGTTTAAACAAGCCATATCCTGCTAATTGTTCTTCGTTGGAAATGCTACTACTATGCTGCGTTACAATTTTTTCAAAGTCTTGAGCTGCATTGTCAAATGCTTCCTAAAGGGGATTTAAAAAAGAAACAGTAAAGATAATATCACTAGGTATACATTTTTTTTCACTATTAAAAAAGGACGAAGCGTACGTTTCCAGTAGACATATTGAATAGACACCGTGATTACTGTGAACTTAAAGGTGAAGAGTTAAGAATGAGATGGATCACTATTTATATGTATTACGACGTGGATCTTATGACTAGCCAATTACGTATACAGTAGATATCTTTTTAGATATCTTTTATAGATATATCTATCTTCATAATAACAATAAATAATGTCACAAATTTATCTTACAACAATCATCATATATAGTGACCATCGTTGTCTTTTTAAAATGTGTGATTACTATGATATCATTTATATTTCACCGTTCCGTTATCCATAATATAAAAACGTTTTTTTTTTGTATATATTATGAATGCAGATTTAAACCTGCATCGGTGAAGTAAATACGGTAAAGATTTCTATTTTTTCTATCCCTAAAACCTTAATAATAGATGTAAAAATATGGGATAATTTTCTTATAATAAATATATATTAATCATTTTTATTCAAATTGACGTTTCACCAAACCTTTATCTATGTTACAATCGGTCGATACACTATCGCTATGTAGCTAAAAAATTAATGTCGCAGAAAATAAAAACATTATGGAATACAAATTTTTTTAAAAATTTTAAATATATATAATACATCCCATTTTATTTATGTATGTTCGTTAGGGATGTTAAATTGCGAATCCAGTCCGATCCGATCCTGGGATCTAAAAAGACGGTCCTGGATTCAGTCCTTAAAATCACATGAAACCATAATACATTTAGATCTTGTATCAGATCTTGAATAGAATCCATCGAATAAATCCATCCAATCAAATTAATTTGTATTGTTATAATAACTCAATACAGGATCTAAGGATCAAATCCCTACTGATCCTTGAAGGATTGGACCGGATCCCAAAGGACCGATTAACATCCCTAATGTTCGTACTAGAGATGCCGAGAAAACCATGTAATGCTAAATAATTACAAGAAAATAACTAGCAATTTTTTTTAAGTCACATGCAATAAGCTATAGTGTGCGATGATTTAGCATCACATGGTTTTCTCGGTATCTCTAGTTCGTACTGACTGTTACTGTCAGAATACCCATCATGATTAACAAATATACGTAATTATTCCTCCAATATTTGTACGTTTCTTGTAGCTATTAAAATAACGTTAATTAATAATGCTAATTAAAAGGCCGTAAAATTTGAAAAGCGCATTTTTAACACTCACCCAGTAGTAATCTTAAGTCACTGTTAAATCTGCCCAAATGTTTTCAATAATCCCAAGTAGTGGTGTAAGCGAATTTAAAAAATTACAACTCAGAATACGTCACGGCACGTAATAATGTCTGTCGTAATGCCGTTTGATGTATTGTATGCCATAGATATGTCACAATAGGGGTGTTACACATTAAAACAGCCCTTTTTTACAATTTTTTGGAAAATTATTTTATTTGAATGAAATCAGATTAAAATGCTGAAATGAATATTGCACGTACATACGTACGTACAATGTAAAAAATAAACAAGCCACCGAAAAATAAAAATTTTTGAGGTGTATTTTTTAGGGTTAGGGTTATTTTAGGATAAGTGGTTTTAGAGGGTCAAATAGAAACCTTTATTTCATTTTAATCCGATTTCATTAAGATCCGCATCTTGTGAATCACTTGCTCAAAAATGAATTGTATTAGCTTCTTCAATTAACTTTTGACGCCAATAATTGCTGACATTTTCAGGGCAATTTACACAGTGATTGGCCAAATGTGCTTTCATAACGTGTGGTTTTCACGTTCCCAACGCAGGTTGAAGAGTTTCCCGATATGTACCCGTTAGTCCGCCATAGAACCGCCAAATACCTGCTGAGCATATTGGTAAGATATCGGGAGGTAGATCACTGGTAGATCGATATCAGCAACATAACAGCAAAATATTGGGATACCCTGATATCTTACTTTTAGGCCCAGAGTGTTAAGAGTAAGATATCAGGGTATCCTAATATTGTGCTGTTTTTCGACAATTTTTGCCCAATAATGTATACTTATGCTATCGATGGCAGACTAACGGATACATATCGGGAAAATTGTCCCTCATTGATTCAACCTGTGCAAGCAGTTGGGTAGTGATACAAGACACTTTATAATGCTCATTACCTCTGTTAGGACCTCTTGTATAAAATGGCCAAATTTGATCAAAGCTGGGCCACTACGAATTTTTGTTTTTATTAGGTTGCGTTGAAACGGAAATATTATCTGAACTTTCGCTTTCGTGATCCATGATATACAAATAATAATAATAATAATAATTATATACTATCGCTATGGTATTCAGGGATGGTAAATGACGATCAAAATTTAAGTCATTAAATAATGACTTGTCATTTGGGTCATTGAGGTCATTTGAGTCATTTGCGCATAAAATAATTTTATTGGTTTGATAACTAAAAAAGTTATTGGGTTTCTAGCCGATAATCGTGCCCCATACACAGTACAAGTTAAAGGTTTACTAAGCTAGTCGTTATTTACAGTATGTCTTAAGTTCGGAATAACAAATTGCATATACTCTAAAAGTTTCATGTAATTTGAATAACTCTTTATTCACTTCCGCATTTCATATTTAAATAAAAAATTCTTAAATGCGAAAGTGAATTAATAAAAAGTTATTCAAATTACATAAAACTTTTGAAATATATGCAATTTGTTATTTTGAAGCTTTGCTTAAGGAGTAAATATTGACTAGCTTAATAAATTTTGACTTTTAAAAGAGCTACGATTATTAATTATATAAAAAGTTGCATTTATCCTGTAGCCAATTTTATTGATTAAAAAGTGTTAGAACACCAATTAACGTAGGTTAAATGACCTTCTCAGTCATTTAGACATTCGAAATGACCAATGACTAGCCATTTGTCATTTGAGTCATCAGGTCATTTCAAGTCATTTACCCCTGCCCATAGGTGTCCCAAACCCTTTTTTATTAATAAAATAATCCCGATCACTATGCCAAGATCCTAATCCAATGTTGTCGGTTGGATTGAACATTGAACTAGCCCACTGGACTATTTACTGTATTTGGACAGTCCAATAAAATTTTTGGACTTAAGATGTTGGTTCAATAATTTATAAATTTGTAACAAAATTTGAACCAATCAAATTATTTAATTTTTTATGTTTCAGTTCGTGAGTGTTAAAATCATTTATTACTACATGACTAAATCCAGCCATCTTAAATAATTTTACAATTTACTAGATCATAACTTGTCATTATTGTAATAAATTATAATATTTTTACCTTAACTCATATAATTACAATTTATGCCATTATCGTTATGCATTTTAGGTCAAAATTTGACTCTGAGATGTATTAGATTTATTCGTTTGTTATGTATTAAAGTTGATATCGTAAATTCTCGAAATAGCGGGCATCTGCGCGCTATTTTGACTACGTGCGCGTTATTTCGAATTCGCCCATGGGCGTTATTTCGAGATAAAGTATTAATTCTGGTTACTAATGTTATAAACAGGTCGAATGAATAAGTATCAAGTAAATAATCAGATAAAAGACTTCTGATATGCTACCGACATGCTAAAATCAGATGTATGCCGGGGAGTATTGTATTCCGATATTTACCCGATACTTTCTCTTCGAGGTGCGCGCTATTTCGGGCGTTATTTCGAAACCACCCATGCTATTTTTAGGGACGCGATTTTCGAAATAACGCCCCGTTATTTCGAGAATTTACGGTAATTGCAAATCACTAATGTATAGAGCATACAGTTTTATTTAGCGTCACTCTAATATAAAATATTCCCGGTGTAAAACCGCAGGTAAATAAATCTGTTTCATAAGATTGCACTCAGACTTCATATTTGTAGGAATCTGTAAGTACTATGTACTTTACCATTCTTTTATATTTATTAATTCACTAATGGGGGGTTTCAGAATTAATGATTCGGCGTCCTATTTCAGATAAAATAAGTGACGTATTTATTTAAAATAAGCAACGTACAAATTCTATTTTTTTTTAAAGTATGTACTTATTTACATGATCGTTTACCGACGAATGTTTATCAAAAAAAGCTAATTTTATCACCGACTATGCCTATTTAATTTTCTGATTCGGAATTTTTAAAAAAGAAAATAGGACCTTTTAAACTCCCACTTATTTTGAAAAGAAGTTAATTCTGAAACCCCCTAATAATCTAATAATTTTGCATTTGAAAATATCTTAATTCATCAAAAGCAGCTAATGGACTCGAAGCCCGGTCGATGAAAGTATCATTAAAGGCTGGGTGGTTGGGTAAACGGTATTGTGGCGAGTTTTTTCTAATTGGCTAACTTTTATTTATTGCTAGGAATAACAAATATTATGTAATATCTTGAGAAGAAGAGGTCTCTGACGTCTTACGGGAAGATGAGTAAAAGAAATATTACAAAAATATTTGTCATTCCTAAATTTCACGATAAACAATATTTTTTTTGATTGGACAAAAATTTATGATTATACTATAAACTAATTTATTGTCACCGGTTAAACTTGAAAAGTCTATAGGCTGCTATAAAATACATTAGAGTGGAAGCATGTTAGTCAGAAGTATTTTTTGTTCCTTATTGATATCTTCTTTTACTACGTACGTATATCGATATAAATGTCAAGTCAAAAATTGATATTGTTCCGTGTCTCTATCATGAAATTTAGGGTAGTGACAAATATTATGTAATATTTTTTTTTATTATATCTTCTTTTATCCTTCCCACATAAATTTATATTTACATAAGACAATAGATACCCTTCCTAGGGATAGTAGTCAGTTCAGTCCGATCTTGGTTAGTCCTGTTGTGCAGACTTTAAGACCTGGTCTTCATACAATAAGTCCTGGAATCTAGATTAGGCAAGGTTTAGCCCAAGTCCTGAAACTTAAAGCAAATAATTGTCCGAAGCGTAGCGAGGACTTCGTGTACATGCAAAAGTTGAAAAATGTCCGTCTGTCCGCCACGTGATGGTATTTTTATTGGCCGATAATTAATTAAGTAATAATATGTTAGGCTTCGGACTCC